GAGTATCTTCAATTAAAAGGCGCAGAAATCGAATTATGAAGACAGCCTCTAAAAATATGCCAATTTTAATAAGTGTGTTAAATCATATACCTGATGGTAGGCAGAATGATGCTAACAAAACTGATGTTCCAGTTGTTCAGCTGGGAGTTACATTTTGACATGTTCTGTCTTTGAAAGTTCAGCAATTTGGTTTTGAAATACATGTAGGTGTAACTGAAATGGAGAATTAAAATAGAAAGAAAGAATTAGATAGAAATTCGATATTTGTTTGCATTTCATTGCAATTGTTTGTCCGATAAAAGTTAGCAATATCAGTTTTTATGAACCAACACAACGTTTAAGCTAGAATCTGTTCTAATGACTCGATATTCACGTACTTAGTCCTTCAAACGTTATAATCAAAATTACAATCATAGTATCTCCAATTTTCAGCGTAATGCGGACGAATGGCGTGGAGATCAAGATCAAGATGAAATTAGATCGGTTTGTTTTTCACTTATTTCTTAAGAGCCAGTTAGTGTGTTCTGTACAGTTTTATTTTATCTCTAAATAATAGTTTTTGTAGGCCGTGTACACACTTTTATTAACAACCATCGACCTGACCGTATCTAACATAAACACATTGTTTGCCGATGACTATTTGGCTACCGGAAAAGAGTAGCCGAGAAAGATAAAATTGATGACTCAAGACACGAACAGTTAATTTCTGAATCCTGCGTGAGAGCTTAAGGTTTTAATATATGATATATTATAATATTATATATTATATAATATATATATATAATCACAATGACCGGCTGATCTCATTTTTACATGTACTAAATGTACTGATATCAGGATTATGATCGTTCGCACTTCAAAACGCAATACATATCCCAGATACTTTGATATTTTTTATATGTAAACTATCCTATACATGCAGGTCAAGAGTATCCAACAATACCATATGTCATTAAATACATAAACGTCATTTTGCTGGCGAGATTTTTCTTTAATGATCCCCTTACCACAGCCAGAAACTGTAATTATGTATTGGAAACTTTTGCCTGCATAATTGTATAGCTTTGATAAACCCTACTTGAGGAAACCTTTGTTACAAATAAAACAGGTAAAATAACAAAATACAACGGTGCCATATTAGGATTCGCACTCTGGACATGCACGATCCAATGCTTGTCAAACTAAGGGGAGGTTACTGCAAATACGACAAACCATTACGGAATGGTCTAGTGGGATATTTAAAAAAAAATGATTTTACCACAAAAGAAATTAGTAGAGGATTTAAAGCGACAACAAGAATAATCAAGGACAGACCCGACATCATGAGAGATCAATAAAACACGGTGGCGAAATCAAGCGTTTTTTGGGAGGGTCACAAATTCCTTCATCACGTCATACATCCGCCATAATTGGATTTTCCCTTGGGATACAAAACTGACATTTAACATCAATAGGACGCTTAAGTTATAGAATTCTGACGCTTTAAACTTGTTTTGAAATAGCTATCCAATTTTTTTTTACTCCGTACATAGTTTATAAAGTAGCCCGCGTCAACTGTTAGAACTGCGATATATGGAAGCGGGTCCAGAAGAGAATCTGTCATTAATGTATTTGTATTTGTATGGATACCCCGTTTGCGACCAAACCTATTGCGTTACAAACGTACACAACAACTTATTTAATGTAATACATGTATAAGGAATTCCAGCTTGGATTGTTCTTTAATCAAGTGTAAAATATATATCGAGCGGTTCCAGGTCGATGGTCGTAAGTTGATGTTTACAATTTCTGGGAAAACGGATTTAAAGATTGCAGATATTGATATTCTGTTTATTACAACCACAATGTTATCCTAATTTAAATATGCTTAAGCCCAGTAACAATTTCATAAAATTTCACAGCATATTTAAGTTTGAATTACCTTTATAAACATCACTAGCGATCTATTTGAACACATTAAATGTATAATTTCAACACGCCTGAAAGTCTTGCAACATTTTACCTTTCAACTGGACTATTGTTTTAAACAGGTTATTCCTAATACTTGCACAACTTGTTTCATGAATTAAAATGGAAATAAAATGTATTATTACACAACTGACCTATTTCACTGTATTATACGGTCATGTCATAAATCTGGTATAACATTCGTGTAATAAAACCTCAAGGTGCTGCGATGGGTCAAAACCGTGGGAACATATTCCTACGCCACTACAGGTACTACTTTAATTTACTTTACCATTTGATACATCATGATCGGAGATCCTAACATGTGCAATAGGTTTTCACTTACTGTCACCTAAGAGCTGAACGATTTCCGAAATTGTTACATTACAACAGGTCGTAAATTCACTTTTGTAAAAATGTGGTTTACTGTTGTTGTTTTTAAAATATAACATTTTTCATACCATTTATTATTCTAGAAAAGATTCCACTGGGGGTGTTTCCAAACTGAGAGCTGAAATACTGAAGCTATTTTGAAATGGACCTTTGAAATAATGCTTATGAAGCCAGTTCTTATCTATAAGTATCATTGCTAAACTATATACCTTATACATGTATATAACCAAATAAATAATACATTTTTGTCAAAATAAAGTGAATTAATGAACTACATCACGGATATTGTATAACTAACTTCATTGGAAACAACTGTGGCATTACTATATATGGTATTGAAAAATTGTCTGATAATAATGCGCGAAAGAATGAATGAATTGGAAAATAAACTTAACACATTTGGGTTCAGAATACCAGGATATAGCATTAATTCTACATAACAATCAAGAAAGAAAACAATTATTTTGAAAATAATTCAAACCGATGAAAAGGAACATAATGCATTTCCAACCTTTTGGTTGGAACCCCTCGATATTTGTTTATTTCCTTTGATATCCTGAGTACAGGTAAGTAGTCAAAATAATTTATGTCAGTAACATGGAAAGCATTAACAATAATAAATGAGTGCATGCAACTTGTAATGACACATGTTATATCAAACGTTTTAACAATTATGTAGATATTCATCATGCAACTTGTAATGACATATGTTATATCAAACGTATTAAAAATTATGTAGATATTCATCATGCAACTTGTAATGACATAAGTTATATCAAACGTATTAAAAATTATGTAGATATTCATCATGCAACTTGCAATAACATATGTTATATCAAACGTATTAACAATTATCTAGATATTCATCATGCAACTTGCAATGACGTATGTTATATCAAACGTATTAAAAAATATTTAGATATTCATCATGCAACTTGTAATGACATATCTTATATTATTTTAAGGTAGAGAGGACTTTTTCAAGGTAGGAAGAGAAATAGAGAACAAGTCGAATTGTAAAAGATATGTTCGTGTAATATTGTTTGTTTCATTTCACATCAAGGCATGTAATACATTTAAAAAACGAATATCAAGACGGAAACAGTAAAGGAGAAGTTGTAGAATTACAGACGTTCTCTGGTTCAGCGTTAAAAGCACAGGAATTATAGAAAGTACTATAAGATATGTCGCGTTCTGGAAAACGGCTCGTAAAGTTATTTTGTATTTTGAATTATATAACAAAACCACTATAGTGACTAACATAGAGGAAGATGATATTACAAACAGAATACACGTCATTTCTAAGACAGATTTTTGTGGTCGTAAAACTGTTGTGTCATTGTGGTTGGCGTCATCATTTATCATAATAGGAAAAATACTCAGATTTTAGGGTATGTAGGCTATTTTTGTCTTTAATTCTAAACAATTTAATTTATTTATATACTTATAAAGGCAATATGTTAAAGCATGAAATAAATAAGTCTGTGTACACGTACAATTATAATACACAGGTTTTTAATGTAAGAACACTGAAGACATTGAGTCAAAGATTAATACATATATTATACCACCTACTTACCGACTACAGTATTCTACTTTAAAACGCAATTTAGATGTTTTAAGAAATATGCAAGCATGCATTAATTATATTTGTATCTTATTGAGAAAGGATTTGCACACTCTTTATCATAACATTGTTTCAGCACTCTATACAACTGTATAGCAATTTAAAACCCTTTTTAATTTAAATGCCAATTCATATAGAAGTCGGTGCACAAATGTTACAAAGTTGTCAGTGCTAATACAAATTATTTCCATTTGTGGTAGTCATTTGTAAACATATTTTGTATGAGTTTGAAATTTCACAAAATGGATTTTTATATTAGCTGCAGTTTGATTGTTATGATGGCGTGGCAAAAACGTGCCTACTGCTCCAATAAATTGTATCCTACTTTTGAACTTGTTTGTTTTTCCGACATTGATTTATTCTTGATATTATATACGGAGCTCCTATCCATGGTATCCGAGGTACTATTTTGATGAAAATAAACGATTATGACATTGCACGTTTTGTACTTTGCTTGTATTGCTGTATATTCGGAAGATCAAATAAACTTTACACTGTATAAAGAGAAGATTTTCCAGTCATCGAATAGGTGAATAAGTGTTCATGGCATTGTCTTAACTGTTCATTGTTACATATTAACAATGTATGTGTTCAATAAAAATTCTTTACAGTTTAATATTTCTATGAAACTGTACTATTCCACAGTTTCATTCCAATTCTGACTCACTCCAACAAAGGATTTTGCAATATCATTATTTTTGCAGTTATGACTTGAAAGCATCTACAAAAATATAATTCATTACATAACTTCAAAATACATGTGGGATTATTTGACGTCATCGGTATGCAAGGGTCGAATTCGAGTTGAGACTCTTACAATGTAAACGATGTTCAACATCAGAGAGCAGAGTGTATTCAGGCACGTATTCACTATGCTATTTTATAGTAAAATTTGATATCAATGTGACCATTGTAATCCTAAGCAACGTATCCGAGAAAGAGGAAGTCAGATCCGGAATGAGGCTAAGATTGCAATCTTACATCCTCCACGGAGAGCCTCGTACCTTAACACCACACAACAATAAACAATAAATCATTTATTCTTATTTACTTTAATACTGATCGACATACAGACCATGTACAAAGCTACGGTCCTCGATGAATAACGGCCTATTACCTGTCCCTCCGTCGGACTGAGAAGGGTTACTGTGCCATTACTGTTTCTTGGAGAACAGATGGCCGTCCTAGTTCGCCGGGGTCAAGTGCTCCATTTGATGCCACTAGGTCACCAAGTTATCCTGTCAAAAAAGGCGAAGTTGTAAATACTTGTAATACATTATTTTTAATAAGTACATATACACGTACATGACCCAAAGTATATGACTAACTAATTCGTAAACCGATTGCCTTTGCGTTTTCGTTTGTTTCGCTATAGGCCTTGTATACAGCAGGTAAGAGAAAACTCCTATTCAGTTCTTTAAATGCGAAATAAAATGCTTGTCATTTATGATATATATATATACTAATATATATAGTATATATATTGGACAAATTCATATCAACAACAGATATTGAATAATCTCCTTCATCCAGTTTAAAAGTACGTTTACAAACGAAATCGGAACTTGTACAAAACGTAAAATAAGATATTAAGAAAATACAGTCGTGTATATTTTTAGCATACAAAACAGATACCTGCAGGGTTAGAATTTGCAATTTGATCATCTTGACATCCGACAGTGTAAACCAATGTTATCGTCATTAATGTACAACCCTTTAAATAGGTTTTTAGTTGTGTGTCAAGGAACTGTTGACGACAACGTACAAATGGTTTATTGAATACATTGATAACAATCAATATACATATACCATATCAACTTCGAGTATAGTCTTTATGTTTTATTTTGCTATCAGATACAACCAATAATAAAAAGAAATACAAAAATTCTCGTAACGTAACACGTGGTTTACTTATGACGTCATGGATTAACCTTGTTCGATGAGAGTCTTGTCGCTTCGATTCAAATAACATGAAGAGTGACCCTGCGTCAAACGCTCAAATGACAACGGTTGATTATTGGCGTCAATTTGATTTAAAAAGGGCTGTTCAGCCAATGTCGTTTAAAAGACGACGCATATACAAAACGCAGTTAAATAAATAAATAATTTAAGAACAAATAAATAAAATCAAACAATTGTTTTATAGTAAAAATGTAAATATATGGATTGAACGGCGTTTTTAAAATGTTCATGCCGGTATGAACGCAAATCGGTTACATCAATATTTAATATGAAGCCCTTCTGGGCTTCATGCAATATGGATGTACGTAACCGATTTTCGCTCATACCGGCATGAAAATTAAAACATCGCCGGTCAATCCCTATAAATGCATGGTCTCTTGGTTTCTTCTTCATAATTACATTGTATATATCTAACCAAATGAATCTTTATTATAGTTAAGCTTTTATGAAACCAATACTAATATAAACATAATTGTGTTGATATTTTGAAATCTCAATCATTTACTGAAAAAACACCTAGTGAGTCTCATTTATAAGAATGAAATAAAAACGTCAAAGCTATTTATAATTATCAAATAGAAGGCTATTGCAATGCCTATTTTAAATATAATAAAGTAGGAATGCTGAGAACTTTGTTTATCTACCTCGGGTATTAGTTACTACATATTAATTGTCTAATTGTCAAACATGTCAACTTATACAACAACTTATATATCTGTATTATGAAGTAAGATGAGGAAAAACATTGACAAATTCTTCAAAGAAAACATTGACAAAGGAAACAACGGAAAGCATAACAAACAACCACCAAACATTTTGTAGAAAAAACTTAATCTGAAAGAATTAAAACAAAAACCCAAAATATACAAAAGCATAAACACAAGATCTTAACGAAGCATACCAAAGCATTAACACAAATAGACACATATATTTGTAGCAAAGCGTCAGCACACATGAACAAAGCATACCCCAGCGTTAACACAGAATAACGAAATATGCCACAACGTTCACACAAAATAACGAAATATATCACAAGCGTTAACACAAAATAACGAAATATACCAAAACGTTCACACAAAATAACGAAATATACCACAACGTTTACACAAAATAGCAAAATATACCACAACGTTTACACAAAATGATGAAATATACCACAACGTTTACACAAAATGATGAAACATACCACAACGTTCACACAAAATGATGAAATATACCACAGCGTTCACGCAAAATAACAAAATATACCACAACGTTCACACAAAATGATGAAATATACCACAACGTTTACACAAAAAGATGAAATATACCACAACGTTGTCACAAAATGACCAAATATAAAACAACGTTCAAACAAAATGATGAACTTTAACACAACGTTCACGCGAAAGAACAAAATAGGACACAACAATAACATAACAGAAAAAAAAATCAAACAAAAGAATAAGGCGAAGACAGATTTGACACCATAATAAAATTAAATACATTTTGAGCTCTATCTCAACCGTTTGTTTGGGTGATATCAATGAGCATTTGTTGAGTCCATTTATAGATACAAAAGATTATGTCATTTAGTATTTTTATTCAGTTTTAAGACCTTGAAACATTGAATAAATAAGCAAAACATATTTTTGTTTGATAGATAATAGTTTCGAACGGAGTTCCATTGCATTTACTGAAGACGATGAAATATCTCGTTAACTTCCGTTTGATCTGAGGAAGGTTTAAATTGACTGTGATGTTTTCTGCAAGTCAATATACGATAGGAACTTATGGAATAACCACGCTTGCTATGGTTTAACCTCCTTTATTGTAAAAGTTGCTAACAGACAATTTAGGGTTGGAGATATTGAAAGGTTGGTTTAAATATGAAGAGTTGTGATTGATTCAATTAGTAGATAATACTCGTATGAAAGCAGGTGTTGAGTGAAGTGCCACCCGATCTTTATCTTCATGTAAGAGTGTTGGAATGTCCTCTAAGTATAGTATTGTCCTTTCTTTAAAACTATTTTTTTTATTAAGTTAATTTTTGTAACTGTACGCTGACGCTAAGATATAGTTTAAGTCTACCAGACTTACCAATTATATCAATAAAAAAATTAACATAAGATATTACTCATATTTTAAATGGTTCAAATAAAGTATTTATATCCACCTCATATTTGGTATTTCATTTCGACCATTAATATCTATTTCAAGACCTTGTTATGTCCGAAAAACAGGTCAGCTACCCTTGAGATGACTAACCGGCGTGGTCACAATTTATCATGTGACAAGCATGTGAAACTTCATGTATGTCCGGAAATAAGAGACGGATGACCCATATGACTCAACGTCAAGCACACTTCTACCAGATCAGATTGATGAAACAATTATTCAATTATAAATAATCTTTTTCCGTTGTTCTAAATAGTGAAAGATTTATTGATATTTGTGTTATCAGAGCATCTCAGAGTATATTTCTTAAAATAGAAATGTTTGAAAACGACTCGTTATATTATCAAAACGCTGATTCAACCATCTTTCAATAAAAAGGTTGGCTGCATTTAACTCTGTTTTTTGAACTCTTGAATTTTGCATTTACTCCTGTTTAAATACTGCAACAATATGGTGATCATATAGTGTAAACATGTGAAGTTTAATGTTTGGATGTTTTTTGGAGACATGTGTTTGTGTGTGTTTTGTTTGTTTTTGATTTAATCATATTTTATTGCTATAATACAGCTGGGTTGGGAATAAGTTATACAACTTATATTAAGCCCTTTCCGCGTATGTGTGTTGAGTGGTTGTCTACAGATATATATTTTTGTTATTTCTTAAACATATAATAAAAATGCATAAATGATATCATGAAATTTGGTTCAAATTATCAACAAAAGGAAAAAAGATATTTCTTTTAATGAAATAATCCCGATGTATATTTCTTCAATTTCGGATTTGATACATTGTAAGAAAAATTCAATTTCAACCGTTTTGATTTCCAAATGTTTTTTTCTAAACAAAATAGCCTTTATGTTAAATAAAGACTAAATACACGATTGTAACATAATTTACAATTAGTTGCATACCATGCGTACCTGAACCAAAAAAGGGAAAAGCACACTTTTGCAAACGTTGTTCATTAAATTGTTCTCAAAATTATTTGAAACAGTGATCTCGTAAATGTATATTAAACTAATAAGAACAATATATTATATGAAATAGTATAATTTCGTTGTTGGTATATGACATGCCATACTTAAACACAGTTATCCTTCATTCAAACATATTTCTAAAACATATTACGATTATTATGATTACCAGTTTACAAATTGTACGACATTCCTAGAAAAACTGTTTTTGTGGTTAATCCATGCCTTCCTCAGTGCTATGGTTTGCAGTATGTAAAATGAAGTCTTGTATCAGTTCTGACAGAAGCTTGAAGCGAAAACAGAGAAACACAACATAATGTAGATTTATAGATCAAGGACATAGCAAATACAATAGAAAGCGATGTGAGACTTAAATAAAGATGATTTTATTAATTGTTTGCAAACGTTAGTTAAAATTATTAAGGGATCTTCGGTTTGCCCATATATGCAACAACGTGTAGTGAAATAAGTGTACTAGAATACAAAATTAACTCATTCTATCGTTATAGTGTGCATCAATATTTAACTGATCTTTCATCTAACTTTAGCCTTATTTGTTTGGATAGCTACGGCTACGTGTGTAAACATTATATTTAGATACGAAGACAACCGCGACATTAACCAAACAACACTTTCGCTAATTGCTATTGCATATATTACACTTGACCTATAAAGTAAATATCACTTGACCAATTAGATAAAATACTCAAGACCTGTCATAAAGCATTCATGTTGAGAGATTTTTATAATCAAGCATCGTCAAAACCATTTGAAATATTCCATCCTCATTTCATAACGATTTCAGTGGTGATAATCATGTATATATATGTCAGACCGTTCGATATAATGGAATGCAATACTACCAAAATAACCTTAAAGACCTGAAAACAAAATAAGTTTTTCGTTGTAAGTGATACTTTTATATATACACACGCCTATCTGACCAACAGCCATAATGTGCTATGTTGATTAAGAAATGTACGATTGGAAAGAGTACACATATATTTGCATAATGACTGACATAACGTAGGTCTTCCGAATAAGTTAATATATTTTTTCGTTACAAAAAAACTGAATTTATCATTCCTTTAGAAAAAAATGCTTTCAAGTGAAATAAACAAGGTCACATAAATATTTCCCGGAAA